CAAATTAAAAAATTGGATTTCACCTAAATTATAGCATGGAGCTAATCAAGTTGCTTATAGAGGTCATAAAGCACAACCTCATAAAATCATGACGTCAACAATAGGAAAAATTATTAGATGCAGACAGCGCACGCAAAATTTGTGTTGTCTGATCTGGAGCATCCAAAACTTAGACTGGGTTCCATTCTAAAAATAATAATAATAAAAAAAAAGATGTATTTCAGTGGTCCAGATCGGACACTACACACAAATTTACGTGCGGTATTTATACGCAATAAAAGGTCAAACAACAGGGCAACTTGCTCCACCTCATGGTGAAACACAAAAATATGCTTTATCGCTTCTGATTAATCACGTGGCAAGTCATCTTACCTCGTAAAACTAGATTAAAATGACAACAAATCAAATCCCGATCTAAAAACCTTCACAACCCAAAAAGTGTTTGAAGATAAATTACATGCATAACACTACATATTTTTATATTTACAAATTTAGCGTCCCAATTATTTTTTTAAACTGCCAAATTAAAAAATTTTGTTTGCATATAATCATGTTTGGCTTGTTAAATAGCTTAGTACTTGAATCATTGTTAATCAAGCTGAACTCGAACAAATTTTTTGAACAAAATTATAAACAAGCCAAACACAATTAACTCTATTGCATCAAGCATCAAGCATCAAGTTCAATTTGTTTTACCTTACAAGAAAAAATTATATATATCATTTATATGATAATATATTTTACATATTCATATTTAAATTTAAATCTACAAAATTGCCATCATGTGAATCAAAGCCCTATATCTATCTTTCTAATTAATTTGAATGAACCAGTTTCACACACACTATTCACAAGCAATTTGAAACAAGAACCAATTTCTAAGGGTATTAATTCTAAACAAGCCGAACATGAGACAAGCATAAGCTCCCTAAAGCTAGGCTCATTTATAGCCCAACATGCCAAAATAAAACCATTGAAAATTTGATAAAAATGAAAGACAAGGGTTGAGATTCTATTCATTTTTGATATTTCAATGAATTTTAAAAACGTATGAAATATGATGATAATTTTTTTAAATAGCAAAATATTGCATTATATGTATTTCTTTATATGCAAATTAAAAAATTGGATTTCACCTAAATTATAGCTGTGGAGCTAATCAAATTGCTTATAGAGCACAACCTCATAGAATAATGATGTCAACAATAGGAAAAATTATTAGGTGCAGACAACACACGCAAAATTTGTGTATTGTATCCGATCTGGAGCATCCAAAACTTAGAGTGAGCTCCATTCTAAAAATAAAAAAAATAATAAAAAAATATATTTCAGTGATCCAGATCGGACACTATACACAAATTTGCGTGCGATGTTTGTACGCAATAAAAGGTCAAACAACAGGGCAGCTTGCTCCACCTCAAGGTGAAACACAAAAATATGCTTTATCACTTCTGATTAATCAAGTGGCAAGTCAACTTACCTTGTAAAACTAGATTAAAATGACAACAAATCAAATCCCGATCTAAAAACCTTCACAACCCAAAAAGTGTTTGAAGATAAATTACATGCATAACACTACATATTTTTATATTTACAAATTTAGCGTCCCAATTATTTTTTTAAACTGCCAAATTAAAAAATTTTGTTTGCATATAATCATGTTTGGCTTGTTAAATAGCTTAGTACTTGAATCATTGTTAATCAAGCTGAACTCGAACAAATTTTTTGAACAAAATTATAAACAAGCCAAACACAATTAACTCTATTGCATCAAGTTCAATTTGTTTGAAAAAATTATATATATCATTTATATGATGATATATTTTACATATTCATATTTAAATTTAAATCTACAAAATTGCCATCATGTGAAACAAAGCCCTATATCTATTTTTCTAATTAATTTGAATGAACCAATTTCACACACATTATTCACAAGCAATTTGAAACAAGAAGCAATTTCTAAAGGTATTAATTCTAAACAAGCCGAACATGAGACGAGCATGAGCTCCCTAAAGCTAGGCTCGTTTATAGCCCAACATGCCAAAATAAAACCATTGAAAATTTGATAAAAATGAAAGAAAAGAGTTGAGATCCTATTCATTTTTTATATTTCAGTGAATTTTAAAAATGTATGAAATATGATGATAATTTTTTAACATTGTGTGTATTTCTTTATACAAAATATATGTCAAAATTATACAAGCGCACATTCTGCCACAGCATCATTTTTCACATAAATTGACAATAATGTTACAATTGAAGGCTTTCCACATCATGATTGCTGGCTGAATTCCTCAAAATTTTAAAACTAAGCTACATTTAATCCCTGTATTTTACTAAGAAATTTCAATTTGCTCCAAAACTATAGCAATACTTGAAGTATGGTTTTGTGGCAAATTCTTTGACAAATGCTTTTCCAAACAAATATGCTTTTAGAATGTACATCATCTTCTGCAAACTCAACCCAAAAATTTAAAATAAAATAAAATAAAACTCCTCATATTAAGCTTTTGCACAAGATTTACACAACTATACAAATTTACCAAGAACAACCCAGAGAGATTCAGTCTTGCAAAGGGGAGGGAAGTCACTTCATGGCTTACAGAAAGACATGCAAATCAGAACACTAACACCAAATTCATCGTTTCTAAACAACACCCAGCCCCAACTATCCCCCATGTCGAGAGTTATTTTATTTATTTATTTATTGTTTTGAAAATCATAGCTTAAGTTAAAAGGAGTTGTCAACTCTTAGCATACTTACAGTGGATATTAATGGCGGAAGGTCTTCACAGCTTGATCAATTCTTCTCCGGCAGAGTGGACAATTGGTCAAGTGCGAAGAGCAGTTTGTGCAGCAGCACATATGACCACAACTGCAACACATTTTAAACCATTATTAAGACAATGGAGTGCACCGTTTTTAAGAAATTAGTAAAATGCTCTCTATGGAAACAACTGAATTTTGTTTTTTTAGCAAGCAAGAGTGATGCACTGGCAAGATTTGTTAAGTTTGTTAGATTGGCATGACAATCATAGAAGAGAATTTATAAACAATAAATTTGAAACATTTATGATAAATAAAGATTAGTCTTAGTTTTCAATGTATATGACAATACTAGCAGAATTATGTAACAACATACAAGAAAAGACTCCTATATATATATATTTTAATTTCAAATGGAATGGCCTGAGGCTATTATACGAGCCTCGGCCAACCCGATGCGCCAAACAATTCAAGTACCACACCCTCCACTAGCGGGAATCGAACCCCAGACCAGAAGGGACTTACAACTGACAAGCAGATGCCCGACCAACTAATCTGAGTACGCGGCGCAAGAAAAAGTCTCCTACATGTGACTAGATTAATGCTTATCTAATACAAACTAACCAAATATTTCGGGCACAAAGAAAGTAGCACTTCCAATTATATAATAACGAAGTGAATATATGATCTATATAACCAAATGGAATATGGACTAGATAGAAAACTAATATATCACATTTTTATGTACTGGGATGCAGATTTTGAAGTGTGGAAAATATCATTTGAGAAAAGATGTACATAAAGTTATATTAGAGGGCTTAATAATATATTCAAAAAGAGAACATTGACCGTAGAAAATTTGATTCATGCACTTTTTGATTAAACAGACTATAAATTAAATCTAAAGTTGATGATATGACAAAGGATATCATAGAATAAAAGATTTTAAATTTGGAAGGATCTAAAAAAAATGATTGTAGTAATTTCAATTTACCAAAAGAAATGAAATATGCATTGAGATATCCCAAAGAACTTATTATAGGAGATTCACTCAAAAGATCAAGACTGCAAGTCTCCTTGGAATGAAATTGATCATTCAGCTTATTTGCCATAGATAGTCAGATGAAACGACAACAGTTTGATGGGGATTTAAAGGATAAATTTTTATTCTGGCAATGTAAAAGGAATTGAATCAACTCACTAACAATGATGTGTGAGAATTAGGGTATGTTTGGGGGCGCGGCTGGATAGCTTCGTGGCACTCCACCGCGAAGGCCTTCTGTTTGGAAGCGCAAGAGAATTTCGCGGCGAACACAAGGGAAATTTTCGCGAAAAGCCAGCCGCATGATCGAGTCTGCGGCCCGCGTTCCGCGATCCGATTTTTACCCAGTTGCCCTTTGATCGAAAGTCTTGTTCGTTCGAGTTGTTACGTGAAATGAAGCTCTGCTCCTTCCCCTCTCCTTCTCTTGTGTTCGTTCGTTGGTGGTAGTTCGGCTCGTTTGTTCTTCTTCCCTTATATTCCCGTCGAAAGGAAGCCCATCTGTCTCCTTCCTGTTCCATCCTCTCCCTTGAAGGTACTGGAGAAGGAGAAAAAAGTTTTTTTTTTCTCTCTCCCCCGCCTGCCATCTCACGGATCCTGCGCAGCTTCGCCTGCAATCTCCCTCGAAGATATGGGAGCTTTGGGAGCGGTTCATCTCATTAATTTCAATTTAATTATGATAGGTGGAAGTCGGAATTACGGTTCTTCAAGGTTTTCAGAGAAATTCACTGCTTCCAATATTTAGATATTACAATCTCCATTTGGTAGCTTGAAACTGTGGAGGCTTGAAACTGTTGAGAATATGTTGGAAGCTATATATATATTAATTTTCTGCCTTCTTCAGTTTGTAACAGTGGTTTCTTGATGTGATGCTAAAGATTTGATGTAAATATGAAAGTTTATGAAAGTTTAGGTGTTAAATCTGTAAATGTATAAGAATTGTGTGTTATGTATGTAAATGCACCTTTATTATCTTATTTAAAATGAAGCAATCATCATTCTCAAGAAGACGAATGGTTTATTGTACAATAATCATCATTCTCATACAGGCTTTCAAAGTAATAACTGATTTCTAACAACATTCAAGCTAATAATGAATTCCAATAAATTCAAAATTATTTTAAACATATTTTTAAAATTTAAAATAAATTCATCATTATTTTGAATTTCTGCTTCAAAATTATTAAATAAATGGGTGTCACAGTTATGTTACAAACAAATTTGCTGAACAGGGGAAGAGCGGTCAATTTTCCAGAAACACCTGCCTCACAGCTGTGTGAAACAGCTGCAACAAACTGACAGCCAACTTTCCCGGAACAGCTTCTCGACAGCAGCTTCCTAGGGCAACGTGACTACAGTTGTGCCAAAGAGAGTCTTAGTCTCAAGTCCCACTAATCATTACGCTATTGATTCAAGAGCTAAATAAGGTTAGAAACTTGTTTCGATATCTCTAGAATAAAAGCCACTAAGTTGTTTTAGCAATTTCATGGTTGGCGGATGCAACATATTTCAAATGAATGTAAAAAAATGAATTTCTTAATGGCATAATTGAAGAGGTTTCTGTAGAAAACCATGTTTTTGAAGATCACAACTATTCTAAATAAATTCATAAATTGAAGAAAATATTATACGGACTGAGACATGTACCAAGGGAATGGTATGAAACTAATTTTACAAGTTGTAAATTTGAGGGAATAATACATCATGTACATATTAATCTTAAAACTATCACTAAAATAGTACATTGTTGCTCTATCCATTGTAGAAGTAGAATATGTCGCTGCATGCAGTTGTGTTGCAAACGTATTATAGTTAAAAACACGAAAAAACAGATAACAGACTTCGGTTAGATCATAAATAATAATATATGATGATTTTAATGTAATTAACCTTACTAAGAAACCTATTCAACGCTGATGCACTATACAAGAAAACCTATTCTTAACCTGTTCGTTTGGCTTGATGTATTCTATCTCGATTTCTTAACCTATTCATCATTTTATACAAGACTTTTCAGAACATCAGTAAGTTTATTGAATCATCATTTGATGGCTCAAAGCATAATATCATTTCACCATAAAATTACAAATCTTATTAATCAAAATAATATCTATTAGTGGGTTGTCATTATCACAAACTTGATCGTCGCTAATCATCAAAAACTCTTTAGGGCTTATCAATAACCAAAAGCATCATGTACAACTATTGAATTAGCTGCCATGTTAGTTATTATTTCCACTTTGGATTGATTTATCCAATTGTGAGTCAAAATCTAAGAGTATTTTTCTTCTTTTTTTTATATCTAGGGTATTCTATTAATCCTTTAAAATAAAAGAACATTTCAACTAGTTTAACCTAGCCAAAACCTTTTTCTTTCAAAATCATTTGAGCTTTTCATTGCAAATACTAAAATTAAAGAAGAGCTTAAGTTTTTTTGGTTCAATCATTCCAAGCCATAATTTGGTGATCTCCAATTTGCATGTTGTCAATATATGCATGTAAGGTGTTTCAATTGTACAATTTTCTTATGGTTTTTTGTTACAAGAACAGTGTGAGGGTTTCAGGATTGGAGAATTCAACTTGAGTAAGGGAAACCTAAGTGCAATGTTTAGAATTGTGCAATAATGCGCCTCTCAATGCAATTCTAAAAGAAAACGCCTTAACTGTCTCAAGCAACTAGGACGAAAAATACACCTCAATTTGGTTGAGGCAGGCCTCTCGCACTTAATATTTTCCCTGTATATTTGATGGTTCGAATATGAACCGAAGCCACACTCTCGCATGCAACAGCTCCCTCTCCCTAATTGGGCTTCACAACATTGCCTGCCGCTTTTCACCAGCGCCGCCACCACTGCTTGCTACTCCGCAGCCGCCTCCGCTGCCTATTTCTCTGGCTTCTAATTATTTATTATGTTTTTATTTAAATATATAGATGTTATTATATTTATCTGATAATATGACTAAGAGAAGCTTATTATAATAAAATTTTCTTATCTCTTACTTCGATACATTATGTTACTTTAATTTCATATTTTATGTTAGTCTCTGATGAATAGATCAGTTAATGCTCACATTATATTATATTTTGTGCAAGTTATAACATGATATTTTACAGCATACACTGTTTATTATTTCATAAGGGCGCAATTTGTCACTTTTTATTAAATTAGAGTTTTAATATATATTTCTTTCATATATCTATAAATTATCATGCTAACATATTATTTTTTACCCATTTATTTTGACTTATGCAATTTTCAAACCATGAGCATCTTGGCGACAGGCCTGGGACACTGCGGTAAATAAAAATAAAGGGGTAAAAAATAATAAGGGCGCAATTCTCAAAGGTGCAAGGCAACAAGTTTGAGACACAACGGTAGAGATCAACATACAAATAACCGAAAACAAGCGATACAGTAGCAATCATTGCTTGCGGCAAAGGCAACGACAGGCTCGCAGCTTACAGAAGAGGGCAACGACTGGTTTGGAACATCCGTCGACCCGCACTGTTGTGACCAGACCTGCGATATAGTCGATTTGCAATATAGACTTGATCATAACTAGCGGGGAAGGCTGTGACCGAATCAGGTATGCTTTAATTGTGATGCTAGAAGTCAGCGATCTTAGCCGAAATCAAGCGGGCCCTAGTGACAGAAGATAATGACAGCTAAGAAAATAGATTATTTGGATAAGAAATTAGAGGAAGAGATTGGCCAAATCAGGTCGGGGATATGAGAAAGGTTCGTCGCAATAGATGATAAGTTTTCTTCCATGGAAATCTGAATGGAGAACCGATTTGAGAGCATGAGGGAAATTCAAGAGATGATAAAGAAGCTTATTGAGATGCAATCCAAGACACCGTCGGTGGTTTAATTTGTAAATCCTAACCAAATGTTGATTGGAAAATCTGTGGCAAGATCTAAGGGAAAAGATATCGAACATGACAAACATGAGGAAAATATCCACCATCACAAAACCCCTCTCAGGGCTTCGATTAGGGGTGAATTAAAGGTTTCTAATGGAGGCGGTTGGGCCAAAACAGGGATAAGAGATTATGTCAGACGTATGGA